GTAGAAGTGTACAATATATAGAGTTTTCAGTGTCTGATTTGGGGAAGTAAGTCCCTGGACCTTTTCTTCCAAGGGGCTTCTGTGTGGACTTAAACCTCTGACATTTCAGTTGGCATCTGAGTTTGCACTATTTAGGCACTTCTGCAGACAACAGAACTGGCTGTATTTATGGATGTAGGCTGAGGATCTCCCCCCCCCCTTCGCCCCCCCAGTTTTCTTTAGTTTGGATTCTGTATCTTAATATTACTGGAATTCTACTCCTTTTCTTCTCATTTTCTCATAGAAAAAAAAAGTTACCCCTGCTTTTTTCCACTTAAAATATTATTTGCCCTTTTATAGAAGCCCAGATTCCAAGAGCCCAGTTTGAATTGTGAATGACCTAAAGAGTTTCAATATCCTTGGGAAATTATATTTCTCAATATTTCTGGGAAAGTGCCAACTTTGTCCTGAGGGAGGACATTCCATCATGGGAGATTCCCTGTGGAAAATAGCAGTAGCCACTCATTCTAACAATCAAATGAATCCCAGGAGTCTAGCACATATCACTCTGCTTAGCTTCCTTTGAGAAGCTAACATGCTAACAACTGCTGCTTCTTGGTCCTATGAAAACGGAGGCATGTATAGGTTGGTTTTGGTTTTCTTAAACTATTTGATAACACCTGTGAAGTGAGTTAGCTTTCTTATATCTGGTGGTTCATTAGCAACCAGTCCAGTCCTGGTATCCAAGACATAGGAGATCCTTCCAAATACAGGTAGTCTCTCCTATTTTGATGAGTAGCAGCTGGGATCTTAAAAGCTTTGGGGTAGCCATCTAAGGTGAAATTCCTTCTTTCTCTCTGTATTGGACAAACAGAAGAGAAGAAAGTAAAGATGTGTCCTAAGGACATATGTTGTTGTTGTTGTTATGTGCCGTCAAGTCACTTGCGACTCATAGCGACCCTATGTACAACAGTTCTAAACTCTGCTCTGTCCTGTGCCAATCTCACTGTCTCTGACACACCCATCCCAATTAGCCCAGTCACTGAATCAATCTACCTCCTAGAGGGCCTTCCCCTCTTGAGCTGTCCGTCCACCCTCCCAAGCATGATTTCCTTCTCCAAGGACCTGTTTCTCCTTACAACATGACCAAAGTATGTCAGACGGAGCCTCAGAGTCCTTACCTCCAAAGAGCAGCCTGGTTTAACCCTCTCCAGGGTGAATCTGTTTGTTTTCTTGGCAGTCCATGGTACCCTCAGCACTCTTCTCCAGCACCACAGCTCAAAGCCATTAATTCTCCTTCTATCCTCCCTAGTCATTGTCCAACTCTCTGATGCATAACAAGTGATTGCAAAGACCATGGTCTGAATCAGATGCACCTTAGTCTTCAGAGAGACACCGTTGCTCTTCAGTATAATATAGAACTCTACTCTCAATTTCCATGATGACCAAGGTGCTCAGCTACCATTGCTGACCATTCTAAAAGGGATCTTAGTAGAAGATCAGTAGAAGAACAGAGTGAGTGAAAATGGGGAACAAAACTTGAAAAATGCCAGATTTACTTGTTTATAGAGATTGATGGAACACTCAAGACTTCAAACATAGAATAAAACTTACTTTATTTAAACCAATGGCTTTACTTTCAGCCAAACAACAGACAGGTACATGTGGCAACCAATTAACACTAGGGAGATATGCACTCCTTAGAGTAGCCAACGACATAAAGTCTAATAAGCAATATTTGCCCAAGGATAAAGGCCAGAAGGCAGGAAAGGGTGAGGACTGATGGATATCTGATTTATAAGGAAGATACTGGAAAAGTACTATTACTTAAAAACAGTACATGTGGCAAATGAAGGTAATTGTGAAGAAGAATTTTATTGCAAGTAGGGGTTAGTTTATTCTGACCAAATTTAATATTAGTGAAGAGGTAGGAGTTGTCTGCAAATTGGCCATTTATAACCAGGGACTGCCTATACTAATTCAGGATTTGTGGAGATAAAAGGGACTGCGGGATTTCTTGAGCTCTGTGGCTTAATGGTAAGGAGTTGTACTGCCAACCCCAAAAACATGCAGTTTGAACACACCAGGGATAAAGATGGGGCTATTTCCAGAGTGGGAAGATGAACAGAACGGCCAGATTCTGCAAAGGTGTGTTTTCTGGTTTGGGGTTGAGGCTAGTGTGGCTGTTGCTCTCAACAGGGTGTGAGCTGATTGGATTTAGCTTCATCTTTAAAAAGGCTTTTGAGCCCTTAGGTCTGCAGCCATTGGGCCTGGTTTTTGTGGAACTCCCAAATAAAACAAGCTTCGAAGCAGGAGTGGCATCCACTTTCAAAAAAAAGCTTGCCTCTGGAAACTCTATGAACTTGGAGAAAAGATCAAAGTTTTATGTTCAAGATCCATAGGGTCGCTATGGGTTGTCTATGACTCTATGGCATTAAATTACTTAACAACAACAATAACAACAAAGTTGGGACATCTCCTCCTGTGCATTTCTTAAAAAAACCCACAAAAAGATCAGTTTTGAGTTGGTATAGACCATTGGGCATAACAAAAATTGGGATTCTCCACCCTGAAATGTGGGTCCCTGGACAAGCAAAATAAGTATCTCTTGAGAACTTGTTAGAAATGTCGGTTTTTTTGTTCCCTTCCAGATCTACCAAATCAGAAGTTCTGTGAGTGGAGCCAACGTTTTACCAAGTTCTTCTATTGATTCTGATGTCAATGTGACCATCACTACTGAGAATACTTTGAAATGAGGGGAATGGGTTAGATTATTGATTCTCAACCCTGACTGTACTTCAAAATTATTTTTGTAGCTGTTTGTTTGGGTGTTGTTATTTTTTTTTTTAAATAATTACCCAGAAATTCGCATTTATTTGGTCTAGATAGACCTCAGGGATATTGTTGTTGTTGTTGTTATGTGCTATTGAGTCACTTGCGACTCATAGTGACTCTATGTACAAGAGCCCTAAACGCTGCTCTGTACCGTGCCAACCTTGCTGTCTCCAATACACTCATTCCCACCACTCCAAACACAGAGTCAATCCATCTCATTGAGGGTCTTCCTCTCCTGCACTGTTCCACCACTCTCCCAAATATGATGTCCCTCTCCAAGGGCCAGTCCCTCCTTGAAACTGCCCAAAGTATGGCAGAGGAAGCTTCAGAATCCTTGACTCCAAGGAGCATTCCAGCTCTCCAGGACAAACCTGTTTGTTCTCCTAGCCGTCCATGGTACATTCAACACTCTTCTCCAGCACCACAACTCAAAGGCATTAATTCTCTTTCTATCATCCCTAGTCACCGTCCCACTCTCCCATGCATAGCATGTAATTGTAAAGACTATAGCCTGGATCAGGCGCACCTTAGTCTCCAGCCTGACATCATTGTTCTTCAGTACTCTTGAGAGGTCCCTCACAGCTGACTTTCCCAATGCAATTCGTCTCCTGATTTCCTGGCTGCTGTTACCACAAGTGTTGACTGTGGAGCCAAGTAAACTAAAACTGTTAACTATTTCGATCTCTTCACCATCCATACTGATGCTAATCAGGGATATTACCATCTTTTAAAGCTCGAAGATGATTCTTTAAGCATCTGAACTTAAAAACTATTGATCTAATTCATCTCCTCATCTAGAAGGAAGAAACTAAAACCCAGAGAGGCTTTGTTAAGGGAGGGAGGGGAAGAAGAGGTAAGAGGATTGTGTAGCACAATTGTAAGTAGCACCCATATCTCCTGCCTTTTCGAGGAGGTATTTGGTTGGTTGCCTGTCTCACAAATCTCCAAAATCCAAAAGTGCCATTTTTAAGGCCTTTGTTCTAGTCTCCGAGACTGGGAAGGCTCCTTTAAAAGGGAGAGGAGTCATCAAGTGGGAACTGACTCATAGCTGACCCTTTAGTGGGTTTTCAGAAACAGTAAATTATATGGGAAGAGAGTGTCCATCTTTCTCCCATGGAGTAGCTAGTGGATTTGAACTGTGTGATTTTGGGTTGGCAGCATAATTCCTTACCACTAGGCCACCAGGTGGGTGAGGTGAAGGAAATGGAAAGGATCTTTTGTAAAAACCAATGTATTAAAACTTTGTACATAAATCAGAATTTTAAAAAAAGGGGTGAGGGGGAGATGAGCAGGCCCTTGGAATCATCCTTATTTCAGGTTAACCTTTATTCTGACCATATGATCTTACTTTTATAACTGTATTCACAATGTCTTTTATGTGACATAACTTCCATTTCATGTGCTTGTCTTCAATATGTGGACCCTTTCTCTGCTCAGTGATTTCAGGATTCAGCCCTCATAATGACATTCAGTCCTCGTACCCATTTTCCTCTGTGATGAGGGCCCTGCTTTTAAGATTCTCCACTACTCGCTGAAAGTCTAAAGATGGTAAAATGGACACAATTTTCTGGATAAAACACATTATTAATTCATTTCCACTGAAAATTGGAAATGTTGAGCTAGGATTTGAATGCTGAATACCACGTCTTTTTAAGAGTGAATTTGAGCATAAGAAATAGTAAATTGAGTAGCGGAATATTTGTTAGTTTATTTTTAACAGATTTGACTAAGGTTCTTACAGAGGGGAATAAGCATATGTTTAGGATTTTTTATTGTTGTTCTTTTGTTCCCACCCTCTTTGTTCTCCCTTCACTGGGCATGGGTGGATGTACAGGTGGAATTACTTAGCAGAAACCTGCTGGGTTAAGAGAAAGCAGTGGTTCTGTAAAAATCAGCCCATCTTGGACATCTGAGAGCACCTGCTGCATGACTTGTATCTGGCCTGGATAGACTAACCTTTAAAATCTCTGTCTCCATGGTAACTTGTTGCTATGGAGTCTGTTCTGACTCAAGGGGCCTCATATGCTACAGAGTAGATTCTTTGTAGGGCCTTCATGGGCAGTGCTCCTTTTGGACACAGATTACTGAGTCTGCTTTCCGGGGAGCCACGGGGTGGCTTGGAACCATTAACTTTTGCACCATCCTGTGTTCTTCTGCCTCAAGGGTATTTATGCTTTATTTTTCAGGTGGCAGCACAGGCACATCCCCAACAACCTCCAGCACTGGGACGCCATCCCCTTCTGCTTCTTCTCATCTGTTATCTCCATCCTGTTCTCCTCCAACCTTTCATTTGGCCCCCAACACTTTCAATGTGGGCTGTCGAGAGAGTCAGCTGTGTAACCTAAACCTCTCTGATTATCCACCCTGTGCCCGAAGCAACATGGCTGCCTTGCAGAGCTACCCAGGGCTGAGTGACAGTGGTTACAACAGGCTCCAGAGCGGCACCGCTTCAGCTACTCAGCCCTCAGAAACCTTCATGCCTCAGAGGACTCCATCTCTGATCTCAGGAATACCAACACCTCCCTCGCTGCCTAGCAATGGCAAGATGGAAGCCTACAGTGGCCAGCTGGGGTCCTTCCCCACTTCTCAGTTTCAGTATGTCATGCAGGCAGGCAATGCCGCCTCCAGCTCCTCTTCACCACACATGTTCGGGGGCAGCCACATGCAGCAGAGCTCCTACAATGCCTTCTCCCTCCACAACCCCTACAACCTGTATGGATACAATTTTCCCACTTCCCCTAGGCTAGCTGCAAGCCCAGAAAAACTGAGCGCCTCTCAAAGCACTTTACTCTGTTCTTCCCCTTCCAATGGGGCTTTTGGAGAGAGGCAGTACCTGCCCACGGGAATGGAGCACAGCATGCACATGATTAGCCCGTCACCCAATAACCAGCAGGCGACCAACACCTGTGATGGCCGGCAGTATGGGGCGGTCCCAGGTTCCTCCTCCCAGATGTCTGTGCACATGGTTTAATGGCCAGTCAGATCCCACGGAGCCCACAGCGGCCGAGGCCCCAGAGTCTCCCTGGGCAGATCCTCCTCTTGAAAACAGGAACTGTGTTTTCTTTTTTCCTTTTCCTTTTTTTTTTTTTTTTTGAGGAGGAAAACATATACCCAGGAACAACCAAGAGACACTTTTAAGCCACTGAAGAATACTTGCAGTGGAATCATCCCCAACTCAGTGGCCTTTCTCCTGCCTACCCTGAACCTTAGCTTTATAAAGCATCGCCTACTCCGGCGTGGCCTTTGAAGAAATTGAATGATCATTTTATACTAATGTGTTAAGGGAGATGCTAGAGTGTAAGATGCCATGACAAATTACACACACACACACACACACACACACACACACACACGCCCTCTTCTACATACTTATATGGATGCATGCATACATACCTATTCACACAGGAACCCTTTCACACACACAGTCAGACATGCACACAGAGACTCTGAACTGGGTGAACTCTTTGTGGAGGAAGGCCCAGAATGGGTGCTTTCACCAAGATTTGGTCTATGTACAACATGAGATGGACTTGGCCAGTTGTAGCTGCCAGCCTTTCTGCTCTGCAGCTCACTTTGTTTCTGGAACAAACCGTGTATCCTGGAGCCACTTCCCATTGATGAAGGTGGAAAGACAGAAGTACTGCAGCTGGACTTGACTGCCTGAACAAGATTGCTTTTAAACTTCGCTTTCTTCAATCAGTGTGCTATTATTGTTCTTGTTCCCAGGTGTGCAAGCAAAAAGAGGAAATGAGGGCAGCCGAACAGGACAGAGAGAAGGAGGAAGACTAGAGAGCAAAAGAGACGTGGAGAATAAGACTGAGAGGGAAGGTGTGAGGAATGATGAGAGTTTTGATTCGCCAAGGGAAATTTGTTTGTTTTTATTTTCCCTTACAGATTAAAGAAGGAATCATGGTGTTACCAAGAATTAAACCTCTCTGGGACATTGTGCTTGCTGCCTGATGCATAGGGTGTTTAGCAAGGCACTGGCGAGAGGGACTAGGGCAAGGAATGCATGTGACCTCAATGCTCTGACCACCAGGAACCAGAAGAGAGGTGCACCAACCACGTGGGACATGCAGGTTCTACAGCATGAAGCTTGGCTGGGGGAGGGAAATAGAAGGACTGTGGAAAAGAAGGTTTTATATACCTAACATGATACCAAGAGCAGAGGTGACAAATAGAAGCCCTGTCACATGCCAGGTCTAGACATTTGACATGGCTTGCCTGGCCACTTGTCCCTGAGGTTCAAGCAATTCCTTCAGATTCCAGGGAATTACAGATGGGTCTTCTACACCCTTCCATCTGCCCTTACTTAGATCTCTGTGTTTATCAAATTGCTCATTGCATTTTGAAGTTTTGAGTTGTTTCCCCCTGTTCCCTTCTTCCCCTTCAACTCTTAATGATGAGAAAACAAGTGAAGCTTGGTACAAGCTAAACTTTTTAAGTGGTGTGGAAATACAAATAATACCAAGTAAAAGAATACAGATATTATTGAGATTTGTTTTGTTTTGAGGTGTTGTAGATATATGTATTTATGTGCCTAGTGGGGAATCCAATATTATGAATATTAAAAATGGGGGCAATAAAAAGGGTATGTAAAATATGTATGAAGAAAATTGTATAAAAATTTGCCCTTATGCACGGAACTCTGTTTCTAAGTGCCAAGCACAGAAAGCCGCTAAATAAAAACCTTTGCAATTGTTTCTTGTGTGTGTGTTTTTTTTAAAGCAACAAAAGTAACAGCCCTGTGTATTTGTAACATGTTTTATAACATGCTCAGCACTTCCCATATACTCCTTCATGTGATCCTTTCACAGACTCCGGGAAGTAAATAAGCATTGCTGTTCTCTTCTTTACAGTTGGTAAATTGAGCTCCTGAGAGCTTGAGTGAATTATCCAGCTTTGTACACCCAGTGGAAGGGAATTAGGTCTTGTAATCAAGTCTTCTGAAACTACCAGGCTTTTCTCTTTCTTCCTTTCTTTTTTTTTTTTTTTTAATGTGTATACCATCAAATTGCATCTGACTGGTACAGGAGGAGATTGTCTCTCCTTCTCCAGCAGAGCATCTGATGGATTCGAACCGCGCTCCTCTGAGATTGCAGTGCAACTTCTTGCCACTAGGCCACCAGAGCTCCCCCGCTTTTCACTTTCTTATTGTCTGCAGAAACCTGCATGAAGTCAATCAGTAGTGATCGTCATTACTGCTAAGTACCAGACACTATGCCATCAGGTGCTCTCCTCCGTAGTCATGGCCATCTGATAGGCAATGGAACAGAATGTTTCCAACACAATGTTCTGCACCATTTTTACAGCTGGTCCTGGACCATATTTTGTAATCATCAATCTGCTCAACTCCACTGTGGCAGCTGCTGAATTTTAAGGACCATTCATCCTCGGCGACTCATCTTTCAGTGCTACATCAGACAACATTTTATTATAATCCACAGAGTTTTCATTGGTTAAGTTTTGCAAGTAAATTTCCAGGTCTTTGTTTTCTATGTCTTCCAGTCTTGAACTACTGCTGAAATGCAGCTGCCATGATGAGTCAGCTGGTATTTGACTGAGTCGTTATAGTAGAACAAACTGGTAGATGGGTGGTGGGTCAGACACTAACATGCACTTTACACAATTATGTCATCAACTTCTTCCGTATTTTGTGAGATCAATATTATTTTTACTTCCATTTTGTAGATCAGAAGCAAAACTTAAGAAAAAAAGGGTGCCATCTTTGCTGTCTCAGGTATGATGTGACAGAGCTAATCATTGATCTGAGGGGCTATGCATTTGGCATTGTATCATTGTGCCATGAAGTTCCAGCAGATCCTTGAGGCTCTTGACCAACCAAGATAATTCTTCTCAATCAGCTGAAAGGCAAAGCCAAGAGTACCTCTGAAGCAGAATTAACATATTTAATTGTCAACATGTACTCTCCACCTTGATTGTGCCACCACAACTTGGTGCATCAAATGCTCATGAACAGCAAAGGAATGAAATGCGTAGGGTTATAGCATTTATAAACATTTCTACGTGTTATCTCATTTGAACCTCACTATAAGAAAATGCTTTGCAATCCCAAAAGTGGGTGGTTCTAATCCTCTAGCTGCTCCTTGGAAGAAGGATGGACACTATCTTCCCATGTGATTTCCTGCCTCTGAAAACCCACTGGAGGGTCAGCTATGGGTCTGTTCCAACTTCACAATACACAACAACAATAATATAACTATGAGAATAGTCCCTAGTGACGTAGTGTGTAACCTACTGGACTGCTTGCTGACCAAAAGATAAGTAGTTTGAATCCATTGATGGACAGACTTCTTCCATGAAGATTTGTTGACTCAGAACCAGTGGTAGCCACTATGAATCAGAAATTACTCAACGGCAGTTAATTTGGTTTTTATTTTGATGTAACAATGGGAAGTGGACAGGGTACAACTTACTGTATTGTAAATGTGATCTGGGACTATATTGATGGCTGGGAAGGTAGTAAAGCCAGTGTTTGGAATCTGCTCTCAACTCTACACCAGACTGGCCTCTGATGTCCAGTTACACTGCGACTCCTCTGGCTAATTCCACCAGGGCTTGATGGATTAAAGTTTCCCACTACTGCCTTCATTCATTCATTCATAAATCAACATACTTAATATGGGTCATACTTGATTGGGCTTACCTTTGCTCATTGACAATGGAGCTTAATTTGAAGGAGAAAAATGCCAAGTCAATACTTCAGTTTTACAAATAACTTCAAGGAGTGACATGTTGTTTAACTCTAGCAGCAATCAAATCATGGCCAAAATAGCTGGCCTTTAACTGAATGTCTCTGTTTAGGCTTTCCAGGCCTGAAAGATCTTTTTAAGAAACCCTCAAAGCCAGATAATCCAAAGACATACTTTTATCTGTATCTCAGGCACATAATGGCATACTGAAAACAATTACATACAGAGCTTATGCTTCTTTCTGATTTAGCAGCATGTCAAATATCATTCAATGACTTAAAACTCTTTGAGGTTTTCAGGTAATCATAATGTGTCAAGAAATATATTAATTTAATAGTGTTTTTGTTAGGTGCTGTCGAGTATGACTAGCAGTGACCCTATAAACAATAGATCTGAACCCTGTCCTATCCAGTGCTATAAGAAGACTAATTATAATAATAATTTAGTATATTACAGAAAATTTCTGTTATTGGAAAAGAAATTAGAATGATTCATATAAGCTATATAGATATTATAGCACATATTTCTCTATATACCATAGAAAGCAATATATTTTAAAATAAATTTAATAATTATGAAGGATACACTTGACCTAATTCTCTTCAGTGAAATGGAAAATAAATACTATAATTACATATTGATTATATACAAAGAGGATAAAGGATTCTTTTTTAGATTAAGATACATCACCTTCACTCATTTTACTTAAAGAGTCTGTCACGTTACTTCATCTTTGCATTCAGTCTCTATGTTTAGTGCAAGTCTTGGCATTTTATAGAATCTAAATATCTATTCATTGCTGAATTTGTCCACTAAATTTATTTTTAAGGATAATGCAACAAATTTCATGAAGAAATTATCATTTATCCTAAATTAATGAGACTTAAATTCAAAGGCTTTATGCTAGTTTATGATATAGTATTTTGTTGTGTGGTTGTGTGTGCCATCAAGTCAGAACAGACTCATAGCTGATCCTCTGGCAGGTCTTCAAATGGGAGGAGATTGTCTGTCCTCTCGAGGAGCAGCTGGTAGATACAAACCACATGCCTTTGGGATTGCATTGCAGTATAGATTAATACAAATTTATAAAGTAACTGATGAAAGCTATACAAGTGTTCAGGTTTTTTGTTCATAGGGTTGCTATGAGTTGTCTACGACTCGACAGCCCTTAACAACAACAAACAACACTTTAAGCTTCCAGTCCTTGGGAAATGACATCATGTTGAGAGACGTGGAAGGTCAGAGAAGCAAGGAAGATCTTCAACATGATGGATTGATACGGTGACTGTAGCAATGGACTAGAGAACATCTCAGATTGTGGGGATGGCATACGCTAGGGAAAGGGGTAGATCTGTTGTTCATAGAATGAGTCATAGAGAGAGCTCTGTTGGCCTAGTGGAT